TGTTGTGTATTTATGTATACATAATAAATATACACAGTATACACACACATAAACTATGTGAACAAAAACTTTTATTTTGGATGTGATTAATCGCGATTAATCGTTTGACAGCACTATATAAAATAAACCATAACAGTACAAATATATGAAAACGCTACTGCAAAATTATAATTTGCGTGATTCATTTCCATGCTTGCATTTCTGACCTCCTGCGAATGAAGTTAAAATGATCTAATCACAATATATAAACCCAGCCCAAATTCACACATTAGCTTCTTTGTACTTGTTTGTGATATTCACTAGCAATTTCTGAATGAAAATAATTATTTTTCAGTGTATGTAAATGTATTTCTTCCATCACGATTGTTAGCGAGCGTTTTACAGGCCTGCAGCACTCTTTAAACGTTGTTTACCATGGTAAAGCACACTCACAGCTCACCTTTACTTACCCTCTCTTTGCACTCTCTTTTCTCTCACTGAAAATAAAAATGCCAACGTGTCCAGCATTTCTTGGCTTGACCTTCCAAACAGGCGCCATGTGAATGGAATCCTAAACTTGCCCGAACACCACGGAAACACTCCGGAGGGGGCGGAGGGACAAATAGAGCGTTGTTTCACTAGACCCCCGTCCCAGAGACTGATTGCCCGCCGCTCTTTAGCAGGCCTGCCCAAATATTTGTCAACCAGACATTGAAAAAACGCTAAACAAGAGGGCAGAGGATTCTAGAGCTTTACTAAGCAGCTTGGGGTCGTGTTGTTTTGGTGTGTTTGTAGTTGTGTAGGTATGCAGGAGTTTCGACAGAGGAATGCTGTTAAACACAAGACAACTGCTAAATCACAACCTTCCTGCATTCCTTCACCTGCACTTAAATGGGTAATATGTTTCTTAAAGGGACAGCTCCCCCAAAAATGAAAATTATGTCATCATTTACTCACCCTTACGCTGCTCCAAATCTGTATGAGTTTCATGCTGTTGAACATAAAAGATATTTTGAAGAATATTGGGAACCGAACAGTTGACGGTAGCCATAGTAGGGACAAAATACTGTGGAAGTCAATGGCTACCGTCAACAGTTTAAACATGCATAAACATTTTTGTTTCCATATGTAAATATAACATAGTACAGATCTTAAACATTCAGAAATTGAAAAGTATAATGGTAATAATAACACAGAAGTAAACAAAGGTTAATAATAGTCAATAAAATGCATACCGTTTCTCAATATCAATTTGACATTGATACTTAAATGTAATATATATTTTAATATCAAATATTGGTACTTATATTTAATATATAAATATGCTAGTTTTCTTACAGTATGTTGAGAATTTATGTTGATAATTTCATGTTATCTCTTGAGATTCATTTAGTACAACCAAAACATCTTAAAAACCTAAATAAAACACTTCACGGTATATTTTTTGATGTGATATGTAAATATTTTATAAAGCAAATTATTAATGAAATAAAAAAGTGAAAAAGTCATTATGTAAAGGGATCAAATATAAATGTAATGTTTTTTAAAATTATTGTATTATGTAAAATAATAATATTTTGACCACAAAATAAAATAAAAAAGGTAATTGCGACTTTTTATCTCACAATTCAGAATTTTTTTCTTGCAATTGCGAGTTTATATTTTACGACTCATAGGTTTCCTCTCAGAATTATGTTTATACCGTAATATACCTTTAAACCTTTATCAATACCTTTATAAATATAGTTTATACCTTTATATCTCAATTAATTTTCTCAAAATTGTGAGAAAAATGTCTACATTACGAGTTATAAACTCAACATTGCAAGAAAAAATTGTGAGATAAAAAGTCGCAATTACCTTGCTTTTTATCCCATTGTAGAAAAAAAAGCTTTCATATTTTTTATGCATGTAGACTGGATGTTATGATAATTTTCATATGTGGCAAACACCAACATATATATATGTTTGTTTGTTTGTTTTTTGCCATAGTTGGTTTGATGGTATAATGACTGCATTCAGTGAACAGAGTCGGCAGTTGGCAGGGTTTTTTTTATTTATTTTATATATATATATATTTTTTGTTTTATCCTTACAGGAAACACGCTACTCATAGAAAGACATACTGTGTTTACTGATTGTTGAAACATACAGCCCTGAGACAGTGCAGTGGAGAGGAGATTTCTGAGAATAATTACATGCCAGAGGATCCAAAGCCAGAGGATCCAAAGGCGTGCAGTTATCTGAGTAAAATATTCAAAACACTATAGCCAGCAGGTCTCAAGAGAGACACTCTATAACAACCGCAGTTCATGTGCAGATCAATAAGAGAGAGAGTTTACATTAGCACACCTGCTTAACTTTGAGTTCACACGCACTTGCTGGAATCAAACCACACTGAGATCAGACAACTGACTGCAGAGAGCCTCTACTTTCAAAGAGCTGCTGCCATGTGACTGAAGTCTGTTAAGGCAAAGAGAATGTTTGATAGGAGTCAACACCAGCATACTGCTCAACACAGTCCTATAACTCCATTGTACACATGAAATGTTTTGTTTTTGTCATTACTTTTATTTTAAAATGACACCAAATAATTGCATTAGCATTTAGATAATGCTTGACATCAGTGTGGCGTGAGTAATGTCGATTTAGTATGAATTCGTCTGTAATTTGTACACCGTCAGTGGGGTGTAAGCCGATTGGACGAAAATGTATGAATAAGATCGTACAAATTCACATGAATTAGCCACCAATTTACCAAAAACTACATTCCCCCAGATATCACAACCTGATCTCAAGAAAAACGTAACTATTTTATAAGGGGGCGATTTCATATCGTGCGATATGATTTGTATGAAAACATACGATTTGGGGTCATGAAGCTCCACCCTTAAATATAGCCGCCAGTGGAGCGTAAGCATATTGTACGAAAACGTATGAATGAGACTCTACAAATTCATAAGAATAAGCCACCAATTCACTATTTCCCCCCCACAAATATCTCAAGAGATAACGTAACTAATTAGCGTAAGCATATTGTACGAAAACGTATGAATGAGACTCTACAAATTCATAAGAATAAGCCACCAATTTACTATTTCCCCCCCACAAATATCTCAAGAGATAACGTAACTAATTTACAAGGTGGCCAGTTTGTATGAATTAGTGCATTATGATTTGTACAAAAATGTTAGATTTTTAGAAAGAAAAAAATAACGTATGAATGAGACTGTAAAAATACATATGATCATATGTAGCTATTTTACAGGGTGGCGTTTTTGTAAGAATTAATGTGATGAGATTTGTACAAAAATATATGATTAAAAAAAATAAAAATAAAATCATGAATGTCCACCCCGCACATATCCGTCAGTGTGGCGTCAGCAGATCATATGAAAACATACAATTGCGATTGTAGTTTTTACTATTTTACGAAGCTGAAATTTTGTATAAATTTTGAAAACACTATTTTTATTAAAAAAAATAAATAAACGGATTGTATGAAACATATAACTGAAATTATACAAATTCATTTAAATTATCCTCAAATTAACCAAAACAATTTATTCCCAACTATTTAATGAAGTGGTGATTTCGTATTAATTCATGTGACGTTAAATGTATGAAAATGTATGATTTTAATAAAAAAGCATGAAAGTACACCCCTAAACTATCAATGGGGCCTTAACAGATTGTACGAAAACATACAAATGTTATTGTACAAATATTCCCAACTCACAATTTTTTAGGTGGCAATTTGGTATAAATTTATGCAATGTGAATCGTACAAAAACATGCGATTTTTAGAAATAAAGCATGGCAGTCTAATCCTAAACTGTCAATGAGGCGTTAACAGATTGTACAAAAGCATACAAATGAGATATACGAATTCATACGAATTAGCTACCAATTTACTAAAATAATTTTTTTTCTTCACAGACATCATAACCTGATGTTACGGGAAAAGTGAGCTATTTTACGAGTTTCAATGGCATTTTCTTTTCCACTTACCTCTGTATAATGCATATTAAAGTAGAGTTTATAAGCGCAGCGCTGCTTTGCTTACAGTGTTAACCAAGGAAACACTTTTTTGCTTCTGTTCCATAAGCGCCACCTACTGTCATTTTCATTCAGCCTGTTTTTGTTTTGTGCAGGTGTCTTATGTAGCATAATTTCACAAATCAAAAGTCAGACCATTCTGTTTTTGTATTAAATCTTGAAATTACAAACAAAATTTAAAAACAACTGCTCATGCTACATATGTGTAGCACTACTGTCTGTACGAAAAAAAAATAGCATTGGGGATTTTTTGCTTTTAACTGTTGTACCAAACATATATCGAACCGTGACCCCAAAACCAAGGTATGTATCGTACCGTGACTTATGTGTACCATTACACCCCTACACAAATTCATACAAATTCACCACAAATTCACCAAATCGTAAAATAGTTCTGAACTGCCATGAGAGTGTGTTGGAAATCTCAAAATCTTCAGCTTGTCACTGGCTGTTACTCTTTTGTGTTAAAACATTCCAAGCCCGGAATCTTTTAAAGCAACATTTGGCCAGAACTCACTGATCCTAGATCAGACCTCCAAGCGATTTCCAAATCCCACTCTTCCCCAAACCAGCGGCGGCTCTCCAAAGCTTTATATGGGGAACATGCTGCTACCTGCCTGGTCTGCTGGAGTGTGAGTTCCTGAAGAGAGACATTCATCAGCAGTACAGGGGGTCTCTTTTTGATGGAGTGGCCCTGCCACGCTTCCATGCAGATCACTCCAGCTCCAGGCAAAACAGCAGTTGCGTGTCAGTACGGGAGCCATGCGTCATCCTTATTGATGGGCCTCCCTCTGCCGGTCCCCGCCGCTCTGGTCATGCGCTGGCTTTGGCGTTTGCTCCACTGGCACGTGCTGCGCCACTGAAAAGTCGAAGCAAGAGTAAACATCCATATACTGTATTTACTCCGCATTCGGCTGATGTATTGTGTGCCGTAGAGAATGAGGGGAACATTGAGCACGAGTCACAGAAAGTAAATAAATCCACACTCGAGAGGTTGAATGGTGAAGCTGCACCAGGGTCTGGCGATGTAATTTATCACAAGCATCAAACAGCAAGGCAGATACTTAAAGATGCCGTTTGTCATAACACAGGTAAAATCTCTTGTGTCTGGTTCTTTGTTGAGAAGAGTAGATCGATGGCAAAAAATATCAATAGCTAAAAATGTGTTGTCAGTATGTCTGTCTAGCTATCTATCTATCCAAAAAAATATATTTTAAGAAAAATATCTACATTAATTTATTTAACATTATTTTTAAATGTATATAATTAATTTATTTATATTTAAAAGACATATTTTAAATAAATGAATTAAAATATTAATTTTGTATTATTAAAAAAATAATTTTAAATGTATTTATCTTTAGCTCAAATGGCGAGATCACTTATCAATAGCAAAATTAAGATTAATTTATGTATATTTAAATAATATATATTTTTAAATAAAATAATTTAAAATCAACAGTTATTATTTAAATTGTTTAAATGT